AACCCGGTCACCAACCGGGTCTTATAAATTAAGGCCTGAGAATTATTAACGTTGAGGCCTAAGAATTAGCAAAAAATTAGGAACTCAAACCCGGTCACCGACCGGGTCTTAAGAGCTAGTTTTTATACTATTTGAAAGTTTATACACTTTTAAATAATTGTTAATGGACTAAATTAACAAATCTTTGAATTGGATACATCCTTAGTGGTGTATAGCTCGACTACATTTCCTGTAACTTTTTAATTCCTTTAAAGCTCTTCCACAAAACATAATTGCTAAATATTATTTTTGAAATGTAATATTCTGATAATGTTAGTTCATAATAAATACATGGTTTTGTTATCGTCAAACATTAATGTAAATACATTATTTAATATTCCACTTAAATTTTTTTTCTTTTTTTAGTTAATGCAGGCATCAAAACATTTCATTATTGTTTAAATATATGTCTGGTCTCTTTCCGTAGCTAACTTGCAAATTAAAATTTCAATGTAAAAATACTATATGGTTTGCTTGTTTAATAAAGATTAGATTAAATAAAATTTTCAATATATAATCTATTATAGTGTGGGGAATTCTGTCATTTTTTAATCTTGATCCATTTTGATTATTTTATTATCAAAATGTTCGTCCCGATGAGATGATTCTAAAAAGCTCCAATTACCAAAACTCAAACACTGAATTATGAGGTTACCCACATCATAGATGCGTCACTGGGGTTCTACGTCAGCTATGTAAATCAAACCTATATCAAGTCCTATTATAAATTTTATTATTGAAGATTTTTTACTAATCAAACGTATAACGATAATAGATTAATTATATAATTTTTATTACAGCGATATTTATTACATTGTCGGTTATAAACTGCGGGTAATTGTTTGATCATAAAAATTATTTTGAATAATCGGGATCTTCATTTGTTCGATTATGCTGATTATCATTACTTTCAATTACAGGTTGTGAATTATCTTCGCTCATAGTTAAAGTACTTTGTATAGTATTTAGAATGTATTGAAGTTGATTAGAATCCATTGTATCCAAACACTGATTTATATTATTAATCATCGTCTTGTTATGCTGCTTTTCTAATCGAATTTTATTACAATTCTTCAGTTGAGATCGACGCTTATATGATATACCCATTGCTAAAAATAGATGCCCAGCTTTAACTTTACCGTAATTCAAAGTAATATTTTGTAGAAATTAAAATTAAGTCTCTACGAATAAAGTTACGAAGCTGTTTTTTATAATTAAATAAAAAAAAAACTTACAATTCGGGTTAAATTTAAAATTTTAATGCTGTTTAATGCTGTTTTATGCTGAAAAATAGAAATAATGGATTTTGAACCAATGTTTTATAAACTTGTATGAAAAATTACTTCGTAACTTTGTAAATATGTTGCGTAAAAAACGATTGGTTTTAAAAAAAACTTCGAAAGAGAAAGAAATTCGATCTGTGCATCTAAAAGAAGTATGGGCTATTTATATATTTAATTTATATGAGATCATTAAAAATCTTTTAATAATGAAAAATTAAGTGGACCTGATATAGGTTTGATTTACATAGCTGACGTAGAACCCCAATGCGTCACTCCACAAAAATTGAATTAACTCATGATCCAGTGATTGGGGTTTGTAATTTTGTGCTCTTTAGAATCATCTCGTCGAGTATAATATTTTGGTAATAAAAACTGACTGGTATATTCAAGATTAAAAAAAAGTCAAATTATATCTATTTTAGTACAATTGCAAAAATCAGCTGATATGATACTATTTAGAAACGTATTTTATATAATAATACTATACAATAAGCAGCAGCGCGACATATCTTGGATTTAGATAGTTAAATAGATATCGAATACACAGTTATGATACAGATAACTATATTGATACGTGTGTTAATATATATATTACTGTATAACACACCGTAATTTAAACAAAAAGTATATATAATTTATATAGTTTATCTCAATGTCTTAAGATTTACTGCAACTTTAAAGGAGACCAAATTTCATTTTAGCCTGATTTCACTTTGAATTGTGACTAGAGGTCTGATACGACAATAATTATCAACCATGTTTTATTGTTCACGTTTTTAAATATTAGGATATGAGGTCAAAAAAACCTGAAAATACCTAAATAAATTCATCGAACGATTAAATTTTTAACATATTCATTTTTCGGAAATCCTTTGGAATTATCTTTCGGAATTACAGTGAAACTGAATCTACGCCGTAATTCATATTTCGATCATACCATTGAGAACTTTGCTCCCTTCGGTTGTAGGATAAATTTCAACAAAGACACATATGTAAGAATAATTAATAATGGTATTGATTGATAGAATAATGAATGAATGATATATATAATGTATTGTAGTTTAAGATAATATAAAATAATTACCGTAAAACTCTGTAAAAAGCACCACTTTTTTAATTAATGGAGGTGCATATTCACTAATACTTTGAAAACAGGCAACATGATTGATAATGCAATTTTAAGTTTATTTGACGGTGCTTATTTATGGAACATAAATTTCATTATGAGGGTGCTTATCTACCATATGTATTTATTCCCGAGTTTACAATAATTGGAAATTTTCTCTCTATAATAAAGTTATTGTCTATCACAAACGTCATGACTGTTTTTACCAATCATTTGTTCATGTGAAATAATATTTTAACGATAAATTGATTCTCATGACTATGTAGGCCAGATCAGTTTACAAAAATCAATTTTTGGTTTAACTATGAGTAATAGTTCGTATTTATCCCTTTTAAAGAATGATTCATGATATTTTTTTTAACAGATCTGTACAGTATGGGCATAGAATATCGATATTTATAATTTATACATATACCGATCAATGTTATATATCGACATTATGTTAAGTTATCTTAAAGTAGGTATTTTATACCCATATAATGCAATTCTGATCGTTCATGCCATTCAGAACATTTGTCACAATATGATTATAAAATATCTGCCACTTTAAATTTTGGTTCCATAGCACTACAGACAATGCATATGGGGTCTTTGCATTGAAAATCACCTTCCGACAGTTCCGATCAGGCTAATTCGGACAAAAACAAAGCTGTGTATTAGTTCATGTTTATATGTAAACCCATTTGTCATCATGTTCGATAGCTTATAGAATAAAGTTTCAATCAAAAAGAGATTCAAATATAAACGTGAACTAATATACAGATTTGTTTTGTCCGAATTAACCCGATCAGAAATATCGAAGGGTGATTTTCAAGGCAAAGACTCTATATGTTTATTATATTCATGTTAATTTATAATAAAACAAAAAAGAAATTTTTTAAGATTATGAATTTAACTGGTTTTCGTAAATTTGCATACTTTACGAGCATTTTTAGACCAATATAACAAAGTTTTAAATAATTTCGATTTGCTAATAAATATACATATATAAATTACTCAAATAAAAAATTAAATGTCCCAAAACATTTTTGAGTGGTAAATGATTGTTAGACCAAATAAATTTGAATTTATAAGTATAAATAATAAAGTTAAACGAGAAATGAGCTAATACTTTGATAATAATGCTCAATTTCCAAATTTAATTAGAGATACGATCTTGAATAGCTTAAATGATTTAATTTCTAGATTACTGTAAACTCAACGACTCACATTAGCTATAATATTAATTAATAGGTATCATGCTTAATCCTCGAGCTAAAATCTATATTATATTAATTACTAAATATTTAGTGCGAACTTTTTTAATAAATTATCATCAGGTAACACAACTCACGATAACCTTAGTTGACAAACCAGATTTGTTTTATTCTGGACACTTTAAATTTTAATAGTATAAAGGATTTTGCCGATGATAAAATCGAACCTCATATTGTCTGTGTATGCTACTAGTGCTTTATAGAAACGTTTTACAGTTAGCAAGATTTATAGACGTGAAATATCATGAAAACATACTGATATCGAACAATATATGCAGATAAATTTATATTATTCTTATACATTTTATCTACAACATAAAATAGACGTTATTCTGACTTCATCAATATAAATGGGTATTTTTGTTGTACAATAGAAAGAAACTTTGTGAGTTTAGAACAATTATAAGTTACAATGGTGTCTAATTTATTTTGTTAAAAATTTTGAACTCCACTCAATAATTAGATTCAAATTAATCCAACCAGCAAAAATATTGTCACTTCTAACGTTGGAACTTTGGGTCTTGTGAACTATAATAACTAAATTTTGAAGGTTGAGTATGATCAATTCGAGACATACTAACTATAGTTTCTCGATGATTATACAAAAAAAAAGAAATAATAAACTGACTACCAAAATAAGATATAAGAAAATTGAGAACAGCACAGCAGAGCCCTTCACAGTGTCCCTCAATTCGCGATATAGTGTGAATCTACCTCCTGGTATAATCAATGAAGATTTATTAATCTCGTCTTTTAAATATAAGTTCAATTGGATGTGGCGACATTTGAATCTGAATTTTTAATCCATCTTTATGTATACTATTTGGTGCTAATGAAATTTCATATTTACGCACTATAAAAAAGTGTTTTTAATATACATCTATACACACCTATAAAAATATATAAATATTATAGTTCAACAGTTGAAATACTTACATAACAAACATAACACAATTCTTTGTTCAATAAGAGAAAAGTTATTTCCTAAGCACCTATTATTTTTAATAAAAGATTATAATCATCAAAATAATGTATATACTATATTTGTAAATAATGCAATTAAAATAATAATTAAAGAACTAACATTCTAGTTCCACCACCAAAAGCTAACCAAGTATAATTTTCACTAGTTGTGCGTTCTTTTTCAAATCTTTCAGGTAAAAATTCTTCAGGATTATCCCAAAGTTTTGGTGAATGATGTATTCCGTATAAAAATAGTTCAATAATTGTACCAGCTGGAATTATGGAATTTTTAAATTTTAAATCTTCAGTTAATTCACGATATATCAGAGTTGGAGCCTTTATTTATTAATAGTAGCAATAAAAAATTATAAATATTATAGTTATTAATGATTTAATTTAAATACATTAATGTATAAATTTATACTTACTGGTGGATATAATCTAAGGTTTTCGTGTATAATCATATTTAAATATTTTAATGATTTATGTTGTTCTGCTGATGGTATTAAATTGTCACCAAGTATTCTTAATACTTCTTCACGAGCTTTTTCTTGAATGTTCTACATAAAGATATACAGATGCTTAATAATTATAATAAAATTAATTCTAATTAATAATAACATATAATATTAAAATATTTATCTTACTTTATAAGTCGATAATAGATATAAAATAGTTGATAAAGCGATTGCAGCTAATTTATAAATAAATTTGTAGAACATTATATATTACAGAAATAATAGATATCTTCTTTTAATATAAGTTTAAGGTCTGTTACGTATATACTCACTTGTTTCATGACCAGCAAGCATAAAAACGGCTAGATTATGCTATTTATTTTATCTAATTAAAATTTTATTTCTGGTAATAAAAAAGCAAAAAAGAAAAACTTTTTTCTTAACTTACTCTTAGTTCAGTATCTGATAAGATTTGATTATCAAGATTTTCATTAGCATTTAACATGTGTTCTAAAAGATCTTCTCGAGACTTTCCAGCAGCTAGAGCTTTATGCTTCTCTTTAATAATTTCTTTAAATAAATTATTTAATTTAGCAAGTTTTTTAAGTCTTTGTTGTCTTATTATTGGAATATGGTCAATTGAAAAAACCAAAGTTAATGGATCTAATATTGCCTTTTGAACTTCATTATATGCAGTTACATAAGCACTATTTGGATTTCCAAGACTCTAATACAAATACATATTTATTAGAATATATAATTGACAAGTTATCTATAATTAATAAATTTCATTAACACTTACATTAAAGTCAAAACCAAAGGCAACTTTTCCAAGAACATCTAAAGTAAATCTATAAAAATTGATTTTATAATTGTGATTTAAAAAAAGAGAAATAATGAAATATTAATAAAGAATAATTTTTACCTTTGCATTAAATTTTTAATTTCGACAGGTTTTTTATCAATTGTTTCTAAAATATCAATCATCTTTAATGCAGCTTCTGCAAAAAGATGTAATGGTAAAATTTTGAATGCAGGATTGCACACACGTCTAAATAAAATTAATACCATTAGCAAATTAAAAAAATCCGAGGTTGATTTAATAATTGGTTGAAGCTGAGATTTGTAATAATTTTTACATAACTATGTAGCGCAAATTTATCAAATTTAACTAATGCAGTATATAAAAGTATTGATACATATTTAATGAGGTACATTATAAAATTCCAACAGTTATTAATTTGAAATACCTGATCCGTATGTGCACAAGTGGAAACGAAGTTTCCATTAATACTTAACGGCTCAAGGTATTTTTATTAAATCCAACAATAAAGTTTTTTTATATAAAATATTTTATAATATTGGACAAACTTATAAAGTTCCAGTCAAAATTTCTATTTTAACAAATACCTGTGCCTTTTCCAAACCTAAAGATTAAGTTCTGATAGTAAGATTTATTAAAAGAAAATAAGAATAACTTTAATTAGTACTTACGTCACCACTTGAGAAAGCTACATTAGTCCCAATGTATTTTGCAAATAGAGAATTCGGAAAAGTCTTTTCAATGCTTACTTTAGGATAAACATCTGTTAAAAAACTTTGGATTAAAATTATGTAAATATGACATGTCAGATTAATTATTATTAAAAACGCACCTTGCTTCAATAAAAGATCCTTTGCAATCGCTGGATCTGTTACCATGCAAACCCACTTTCCTAGAATACGTTCCTATATAAAGTTAATAACTCAATATTTAGTTGATAAAATTTGCAATTATATATATGTCTATCGATAAATTTACCTTTACAATTCCATCATTTTCAAAATATTGTTTATAACGGAAATATAGTTTATCATGTCCAAATTGTTTAGTAATAATCAAAAAAATTCTACTAAATAACGTAATTGTGTGAATATTTTTAAGGCCATCCGGGGTCTTGGAGTTTATTTTGTCATATGTTATGAGTAAGATAGCAATAACGACAATGAAAGTCCAAAAAACCATGTTTATTGACTTGCCAATTTAAATTTTTTTTTTATTATTTCGTATTGCTGTTTTATATCTTATTTAAATACTTCCAGATCTTTGAAAGATCTGTCATATTTTAGAAGCGTTAGAGCATTTTTTAATGAAAAGATATATTCTGATTTATGCACAAGTCAAAAATTTTATACGTTGATGCATTATGAATTTATTAAGGGTTTGGTTTGTGATACACACATAGATTGTATAATACAGTAATACGTACAGATACTGATTCTATATTTATATATAGTATGAGATTGTTTAACATCAATTTGTATTTTTTATCTCAAAGCGAATGACGATCATTTATAAAAATGTGGGTTTCATATGAACCTCTCAAGCACATAAATTAATTGGTGGAACTCTATTTTTAATTAGTGGAAAATAGTTTAAGGTTCATTATCTCAATGAAAAAAAAAAACAAAATGGGGCGAAACCAGCCTTTTTTGTCATAGACTTGTTCTAGTTGGCAAAATTTTATTATCCGTCCGCATTCGCGTTATGAATCTTCGGTAAAATTATAGTAAAGATCGCTTCAATAAATCATAGTACTTATGCACTATCGCGATAACTAGCTAATCACTTTGAGAGTACCCTTAGTTTCTAAGTTTAGCGAAAACAACCAATCAAAATCCAGAATTTACTAGCACACAGACATCGGGGTGTACTACTGCTCCATCTGTAGTGTCCTTCAGACAATTAAACAAATTTCATAAAGAAAAAATTTTTGTTAGGACATAAAAATAGTTTCATATAAAAAATTTCGAGTTATTGGTGTTATGCCTGATTGGCTAAAACTAACAAGACTACCCTACCATCTCCATTCATTTATCTATTTGGACGTAAAATAAATTAACAGTGGTTTTTGACCAAAATTATGATAATACAGTCACGTGGTATCCAAAAGTTTCGCGTTCATCTTAATACAGCAATATATTAACTTTTTAATATAATACTATATAGTTATTGCATACGGAGCATGCAATAACGGTTTTATTTTATGCTTTACTATCTCAGATTTATGAAATAGTTCAATTATTTTATCATTTAAAAATACCATAAAATAATTGATTTATTTTATAAACTGATCATAGTGAAGTATTAAATAAATTGGGATATTCAGTCAACTATGTATATCAAACTATATGTAGTATCATATAAAAATTAAATACTGAAATTTTTTTCGAATTTAATGATCAGGATATTGTAATTATTTATCACTTTATGTATATATTTTAATAGTAAAGGATGTTTTATATGTTTTTTAGATGTCTAGAGAGAATCGCTTTATTTTTTACAATTATTTTAGTATAGATCGATTCTTAAACGCGTTTATAACAAAAGTTACGTTGAAATTTTTTAGCATTAATATCTAAATTCAATTTAACTCATATTATGAACTAGTTTCTGTTGAAAAATTTAATAGTTGATAGTGCAACATAGATATTGTTCCAGTATCTGATTAACCCATTCACTTTGACTATCCGTTTGAGTGTGGTAGGCAGAGAAAAAATTAATCTTCATGCCCAATAACTTAAACAATTGTTTCCAGAACTTGGAAGTGAATTGAGGGCCTCTATTCGAAATAATTTCTTCAGGTACACAGGCTATCTGTTTCGCATAGTGTTTCAAGCTGATTAGACTAGCTGCTTAGCCGGCCACTTAGCCGCTTAGCCATCCAGTAATCTTGTTAGCCGGCTAATAAGGTTATTATTAAAAATTAATATGCTTAACATAATTAATTATTTATTCATTAGTCAAATTAAATACAGGCATTTTATACTAAATTTATCAAATTTAAATTATGTAAATGTATTTTTACAGTTTAATATATATCTAAATTTTGAATCTTATAAATAATGTCTTTAGATTATATATATCCCAAAAATTTTTATTTTGGTATTTCTTATTAATTGTTAATTAGTATTAATAAATAAATTATACATAGTATATACATCAATAAGATTTATCAATATTGAAATTAAACTATATTAGTTTTTATTTATTTATTTTCTAGTAGTCTAGCATATGTTCAGTAAAAAAAATAGGAAGAACATTGAGTATAATATAATAAACAATTAGCGTTGTTAGTAAAAAAAAAATAAAGCATATTAATTAAATTGTATCCGCAGATTTAAAAACCTGTTATAATAAGCATTTAGTAAAACCTGCATGTAATATTTTTAAGTATTTGATGGTTTACGCCTTTACAATATGTATGAGTTGCATAGTTTTAAGATTGATACTTGTTTTTAAATAAATTAAAATTAAATAATTCAAGTTGACAGAAGTCAACAGATCAAAAAGATAGCTAAGCAGGAAGCAATCCAGTCAAGCCCAGAAGCACAGCCACTGACCCTAATTACCGCTTTAATTAATATATAAAATCAGATAAGTATAAATTATTAAGATTTCAATTAATTGCCTATTCAGGCAACAGTCCAATCGCTAAACAATTGTTTATTATTAAGATATGACATAAGAAGACACAATCTAGAAATATCTGCATCATCATCTGCAAAAATTAAGTTTTACATCTGAGCCCTCCCAATCTTGCTATTTTGTAGCAACTTATAGCTTCAATTCAAGGTTAGCCTGCTTTATACAGTATAGCTAATGCTACACATCGCAATTTTAGCTAATGATAGCGATACCCAGCATAATTAGATTTGCTATTTCTGTGATTATATCCTGTCTCAGTTTATACATCAATCACGCTAAAATTTCTCAATAAAAATTATGTAATAAAGTTTAATATCTAGTATCGTTAGCTAGAGGTATCCAATTTAAAATACTTATCACATGTGTGCAATGCTTTTCAAATGATATAAATAATATAATGAACTACTTAATTTGGGTTATGCTATATAAGAACATTAATTATACGAAAATTTACTAAACTAGAAAGTTTTGCCACTATTTTAAATAAGGAAGTGATTCTGATATAAATGATTTACTATTTATTTACCAAGTTCTATATATAAAACAAGAATAGCTTATTTAATTATAAAAACAATATAATACTGTAAAGTAATAATAACAATAGCTAATAAAAAAGCTACTTATCTATATAAAAATTGATTGTTCATAAAAATTGTTAATTCTATTGAGGAAAACATTAAACCTCCTATTAGCTTTTTAATTTTTAATTAGAACTATACTCGTAATAACTATCAAATGAGTGTAGCCAAGAAAAAACAAGTAATTAGTATTAGATATTTGCTTAAAAAAAGTTGATCCGATAATAAATTTTATTTTTATATACTTTTAAAAATACCTTTTAATTATGTAATATTTTAGTTGCTTTACTTTAATTAAAAATAGAAATTCGACAATTCCTATTTTTTCTTGATTCTGAATTGTTTTACTTTTTAATCATCTAAATTATCTATTGAAATACATTAGTTCTAAGATTATTTTCAAATTCATAAAAAATTTTATACGTATATTTTTTTTTCTTCATGGATTCTCAAGATGATAATTTTTTTATATCTTCTTTTGCACAATCAAATCCACCACAAACTTGCAATGACTTAAATGAGAGATTAGAAAATGATGAACAGTCTGATAGTTTGAATTATTTGAGTTCAGAAGCTGAAGAAGAAGTATCAGTTTCAACATCAGCTTCTGTATCTGAAAATAAACTAGTTTCAAATAAATCTGGTTGAAAAAAAATGTCTTCATGAACAAAGAAATTTTTTAATACTTTTAGACTTGAAAAAAAAAGAAAATATAATGTTTTAGTTAGTTCAAGTAAAGGAAAAATTAAATGTGGACATTCTTTTAATATTCAAACTGCTACAAGCAATCTTGCATCAAATTATGTACTGTTCATCAAATCAATAAGCCTGATAATTCAAAAGCTTTAACCTCATTAATTAAACTAATCAGTCAACAATTAAACAAACTCTAAATAAAATCACACCTCTATCTGAGAAAAAGCAAACTTGAATTACATATCGACTTATTTCTTGGTTAATTGATGATTTGCAAGCATTTCATGTTCTTAATAATGAGAAATTTCATGATTTGATATATGAATATGAACCCTGTTTCCAGTTTCCATGTATTGATCAAGTAAAACAAAAAATATCATTATCAGTTATGTTTAGTGAAACAAGTTTAAAAAATTTAATAAAAGAAACACTTATTTCCTTTAATTTTACTATAGATTTGTGGACTCAGTTCCATACATCCTATATCGGTATAAAAATATATTGGCTTTAAAATAATTATGTTCTTTATCAAGCACTTTTAACAATTCAAAAATTCTCTTACCCACATACAGGAGATGAAATTGAAGATTTTCTTCATGATTTATTTGTTAAGTGGAATATTTCAAATAAAGTATTTGGAGAGTCACTGATAATGCTCCTGCAATAGTGAAAGCCTATAATCAACTTCATATTTTTTATATTGGCTGTACTGCTCATACATTGCATCTTTCTGTTAATGATAGATTAAAAGAAATTGATATATTAATTATAAAGGCAAAAAAGTTAAATAGTTTTTTATATAATCAGGATAAATATAATAATTAATTAATGAGTTATTTTAAAAAACAACATCCTGAATTACAAGAACTTCGACCAATTAGTAGTGATACTGTCACAAGATAGAACTCAACTTACTTGCTTCTTAAATGGCTTTTACTTTTTCGTTATTCTGCACAACACTTAGCCTAACAATTATATAAAGATATCAATCAGCAAGTACGAAATGATGGTGATGCATTAGATAATCTTCTTTTAGATAATTATGAATGGCAATGTCTAGATGAATTGGTTTTGCTTCTTCAACCATTTGCACAATCTATTACCTTTATGGGAGGTAGTCAATATCCGACTATGGGTATGATATATCCAACTATTTATAAACTAATTCAACATCTTGATGATATTTCTATCAAGCTTACTACATCTAAAATTCAAAATATTTGTGAAATAATGAATGATTCAATGCTAAACCATTGGGATGAACCAAAAGAAATAGGATTAATTGCATCATACTTGGATCTCTGCTTTAAAAATTTATGTTGTTTAAGCTCTTTAAAAAAAAATAGAAACAGTTAATTTGCTTTATACAAAAATTGCAAACTTATCTAATTTGTTTGCTTTCACTACTTCTAATATTCCTACTCAAGATACACATGAGCATATGATGAGCAAGTTTTTGATAATATTAATACTACCGCATATTCATCATTTTTAGATGTTGAATTGCAATTATATGATAGTTGCCTTTAGTTCCTAAGTATGATTTGGATCACCCTGAATATAAAAAAGACAACCCACTTTTATTTTGGCATAAATATGCAAAATCATTATCACTGCTTGCATTTCAAGCAAGAATTTACTTGTCTATACCTGCAACCTCAGTTCCTTCTGAATTTCTTTTTTCAGACACAGGCAATATACTAACTAATAAACATAATAGGCTTTATCCGAATCAGATACACGATCTGTTATTTTTAAAAAAAAATTCCAAGCTTTTTAATTGCTATCCGGGGTTGGAAATTTAGAATATAAAATTAAAAGTAAGCAAAGAAAAAAAATTATTTCAATAATTTTTTAAAAAATTGTAATGGCTTAGTTATATTAGAGAGATCTAATTGTTTTCAACTTAATATTTAGAAAGGTCCAATTATTTTTAACAAAGATATTTAGAGTTCAGAAGCTTAAATAAACTAAAGTAATAAATAGGGTTTAAATTTTATACATACAGCATATAGTATTTAGAATTATAATCAACATAACAATTTTAACATTATTGTTATACGTATATATTAGCTTTGATCATTAACTTTTTTATATTTTTACGTATAAATAAAATTTATATATATTATCAATAAAAAAAAATTAAAATTTTTTATTTTATAAAAAAAATGGCTAAGCCGC